AGTTTGGATCCAAAAACAATGCAAATTGAATGATGGAATGATCGTAAAACAAATGCTAAAAGGTGGATTGATGGATTCGAAGTGGAACTACTTTTAAAAGCTCATTGATCACTAGCTAAGGGATCATAAATCTATGAAATGATTAAGCAAAGATGATCAGAAATCGAAAGATAGAAGATCGTTCGATAGAAAATAGATCGGAATGCGTTTAGTTGATCCCATATCTATAGATACGGTACTTTCAGATGATGGTAGATTAATAAATAGACGATGGAACAATGATCTACAGCTGAAACGAATAGAATGAAATCTGAGAATAGATCCACTCACCAGGATGATCGGAAATATATTTCAAAGGAATAAAAACTACTTTAGGTTCATAAATCTTGAAAATAATACCCTGAAAAACGTACGAAACTACTTTCAAATGATCATAAATCTAATAACAGAAGAATAATTACACTCAACTTTGGATTATTCGAAAAATCTTTTGTTGTCTCTTGGGGAATCCTAACCATCGCTTCTTTAGAATTCTCTGCTTTTCTCTCCCTCTCTCTCTCTGACGTTTTTGTATGAAAATGGTATAAAATTCGAATCACATAGAAAAGAATTTATGACATTGCCTGGTTTTTTTTTTCGAACTATCTTTGTATCGCTTTTTTTGCTGGTTCGGAATTTAAATTTCCAGCCAGCGACAGAGCCACTGATGAGGTAATTTTATGCATAGAGAACTTCATAGAAAACAAAGCCACAAATTCCCTAATTTGCGTGGTGGTGACACAGGTCTCTCAGCCCCCCCTCCCCCTTCCCCACTCGATAAAAAAAAGAGAGATGACAGAACCAAGTTCTGTTATCCTCCATTTCAATCACTCACGCAAAAGCAATTAAAAAAGAGCGAAACTGCCTTTGGATGCTATCCCCGTATCTATGGTATTTAATGGACATATAATAGAGAGAGATACATCCCTTAGTTGTGCTTAAGAAGATCATTAGATGCGCCACAGACATAAAAACCAGGGAACCCGAAAAGATGAGATTGGGATTGTTGATTTTTGATTTTTATTTCGGTTTTTAGCATAATTCCTGGCCATCAAAAATTCGTGCTACAAAATGTTTGGCTAAATCGTTGAAAACTTTATGGATTTATGCTAATTTCGCGGCTTATTTCGTGGTTCATTTGAGGTCTTATGTTCCACCGACAAGACTCCGAGAGATCTGTATCTAAGAACCGATTATACAGACAAAACTCCTAGAGACTTTCTCAGAGAATAATCGCCTGTGTCTGGATGTAGAACAATCCCAGAGATCTGTTGTGTCTTCCCAGAGGCAGAGCCATAACATTGTTAGAGGGAAAAAGATGTTTATAATTAGAATTTCGCAGGCACATTTGAATACCCGTGTATTCCTGTTTCTACATCTGCGATCCGCATGTGTTCTCTTTGGATTTCTGGTGGATCTGCGCCTGCGCCCGCGCCCAATCGCTCTTGAGGGGCATGCGGCTGCTGCTGCTCTTGAGGGTTGTACGGCCCTGTGTTTATTTTTGTATCTTTGTGTGCTCTGTTCTCCCTGTAAACAGGAAGGAGGAGCATCCTTCGTTTTTCCTTTGTTTTAAGATGTTAAAAATAGTTTTTATAGTCCAAAGGCAGCTGTGTTCCTCCTTTCTGGGGCACAGTGAGAGTGCTGGAACGGGGTGCTTGTTCCTGTTAAACATATTAATGGTTTTTCCATTTAAGCCTAAAGTTATGCCTCGCGTTCCACCATCCACAATTTGGTGTCACTCCACGCCACTCCACGCCCCTCTTGCTTTTGCTGTTTGCATTCTTTTCCGATAAGAGAGCCCCCATCCTTATCGCCAAACGGTACCGCATTTATGGTTAAAGTTTATTGTCACTAAACACAACCCAGCGATCGTTCCCTTGGTGTCTCTCTCTCTCTCTCTCTGTCTGTGTGTGTTTTTTGCCATTTATTGTTTGGTTTTCACCTCTTTTTTTAATTGATTTTTCTATTTGCTGTAGCCAACGGCACGAAGTGTTTTGTTTGCCTTTAGCCATTTTTGTAGCGGGACGAATGCCTTCCAGATGACCTCAGAATGACGTCGTTGGGGATTAGGGCTCCTCCCCCGTGCCTCAAGAATATTACCACATAAATGAAGCCATTCGAAGAATGGTGGTACGACTTTTTAAATGGTCGTGAACTATCTGTCAATGGGAATGATATCATCAAAGATACTGCATATTGGATGGTAATATCGAGATATAGGGAGAACCTTAAGCCAGTCTGTTGTCTCCATTTAGAACCCATCAAAAGTATCTTTGAGAAGTGATGTCATAGGAGGGGCAGAGCGAAAGAAGTCTTTGATGATATTGTAGGCAATTTCCTATCGGGGCATATGCCTACCTCGAAATATGTTAAGGCCGTCACGCGTCATGCGGCAGCGCTCTTCGGTCGGTAGGCGTTCAGGGTGCATGGATTTCCCTAAGAGAAATGGCTAGTGATCCCATTCCATGGGAATTTCTGGCTATGGCAAATCCTTTATCGATCCCTGTGCAATCGCTCGACATATGTCGAAAGGAATGCCAAGGGAGATATCGAACGATAAGATAACTTTGTTTTGTGTGTTTCGGTGTTCTGCCGGGAGATGAGGCTTAACCCAAAGAGCAGCGTCACCCCCCACTCCGCCCCCCCCCTAACCAGCGTGCTATCTGTCATTTAAGCCGTAGAGAAATACTCGTAACACGATAGCGATAAAAGGAATATTCACCATAGCCCAAAGAATTTGCTGCTCACTTTCGGTTTTCGTGGCCTCTCGTGTGTCGCTCTTTGATGATAAAAAAAAAGAAGGGAGGCAGGCCCCGGCGGGGAGGGCTGAGAAAGGGGGGGGCGCTGCCATTCGTGGCGACCAGCGAAATCGGCCCAAGTCGGCCCCCCTTTAAATTCAGTGACCAAACGACGCGGCTGGTGCGAGCAACTGCCTCCAAGAACGATCGTGTCCGTATCCGTATCCGTACAAAGAGAGAACGAGAGAGATAGAGAGAGAGCGAGAGAAAAACGAATCTAGAGTGCCGCGGGCCTGGACTCTGAACAAAATCAAAAACAAAAACCAAAAAACCCAAAAAGATTCAAACACTCGAAGAGGACTTCGATTCGAAATTCTCAAATGTTTTGATCGTAGAAATCGAGTAGACAGAAACCCCACCCCCCCATCGAAATTTCAAGTGTGTTCTGAGACCCAAGGCCAGGAAGGGAGGAGGACATTGTATACCGCACCATGGAGGAGCATAACACTCAGTATCGTTCCAATTTCACGCGGAACGAATATCGGAGATATATATCCTATGAACGTCAGTCATTGGGTAGGTCTTCCCTTTTTTTTTTGTTTTCTGTGAATCCGAATCTGAACTTGAACTTGCCAGAAAAGAACGGCCTGCACTTTTAGTGCTGGAATTATACAATTTACCCGCCCACCCACAGCCCTCCACCCCCTGAATGAAAGTACCTTTCTCTTATCTCTTATCAGTTCTGAATGCGTGATATCTGGATGATAAGAGACTGAGAGTCCACAAATATTTGACAAATGACTCCTCCTCGGACACCGAAACCGAACTTCAGACCATGCCACAGACACCCGTTTGGCTTTGGATTTCGTTTTCTGCCGAAACTCCCTATGAGTACGACTATGAGTACTATTTCCATGCGCCCCTGCCTTGCCCTGGCTCTTGCGTAACCCAAAATGTTGATAAAAAAAACGTTATATGTTTTTTTTTTCTTTTTCCTGTGGTATGAAGTAATTTTAACGCTCGTCTGATAACACCCCGTCTCGTCCGCCGTCAGGGCGTTATGACATTGCTGATACACTTCCGAGCAGAGGTACATACATATACCAGGGGCCCAGGGGACTCTTCCCCTTAGCGGATTTCGACTCGAGTCGTAGTTTGTTTTTGCATTCTCGGCCATGGGAGCAGCTAGAGGCAAGGACTTGCCTTTGGTACCATAGTACCATAGTACTTATAATCGAAATATCCCATTCCCAAACGTTGCTTTTCATTGTTTTGTCAGCCCAGAGAGACCTTCGTTTAAGCTAAAAGTGGAATGTTTTTAGTGGCCTTAGCTTTTCGAGGGCTCTTTTGATTAGGGCCTTGAATAAAACTTTCCTTATTCCCTCCCAATCTTCTTTAACCACCGATGATGAGACAAACCGACTTATGTGCTGGCACAGCAGCTTTACCATCACGATTTTGAGAAGAAATATAATATTATCCCATAAATTAATCAATTTTCTTTAAGATTGGATCATTTTTTGTACAATTTTTTAAACGATAGGTTCTAAGGGCGTACAATAGTTCTTTATGAGCTCTATGTTCTTGTGATTCCTTCGATCTGGCCTTAATAGTAAATCCATGAAATCTACTTTCAATGCCGCTCTCTACACAGCTACATTCTGTAAGAGGTTTCTGGGCTCCTCCAGGGACCTAAAAACCCAATTATAGGAGAATAAACCCTTGTAAATTTATTGATTGTCAATCGATGGGGACAATCTTTGTAACTCAACAAAAAATGGTACAACATTTGCAGATCCAAAGCTTAGGAAATGTATTTTCGAAATTCCCCTTTGGGTAATCTACGGGTAAAGCATTCGTAATGCTTTAAATTTAGGAATTACGACAAGACTATAAATGAATTTCGAACGGAATGCGACTCCAAACTTTAGCCGAAGATTGTTGTATGTTGTTTTTATTGGAGAATGGCAATATACCAAAGGCGATAGGAACCCCGAACCCCGAGCCCCGAATAGCGAACACCACGTACTTATCTCTTTTAGATTCCAATAAGCAATAACGTCATGGGTTCCCATTATCTTTTGGACTTCCTCTATTGATTTCAGCTGTTGGCAAGGGGAAAAATCAAAACAAAATACTAAACGTTTTTGCTGCTTTTGCACACTTGTGGGTCTTCCAGTGCCTAATTCTGTCTCTCTCTCTCTCTCTCTTTTTTTTAGCATCACAGTATGAGCCGGGAGGCTATGCCACGCTGCAGACTTCAAGCTCATCGGCAACATCCATGAACCGCAACACCGGCAACATGACGCAGCGCGACGGGATCATCAAGTTCGAGAACGAGCGGATCAAGACGCTGCAGGAGGAGCGACTGCACATCCAGAAGAAGACGTTCACAAAATGGATGAACTCCTTTTTGATCAAGGTAAGAGGGCGATCCCGAATCGGCTAAACAGGAACGGAGCTAACGCTTTTTGTTGCAGGCCAAAATGGAGGTGGAGGATCTATTCACAGATCTGGCCGATGGCATAAAGCTGCTCAAGCTGCTGGAGATCATATCGTCGGAGAAACTGGGAAAGCCGAATAGCGGACGGATGCGCGTACATAAAATTGAAAATGTCAACAAGAGTCTGGCATTCTTGCACACAAAGGTGAGAGACGCACACACGGGAAAGAGAGGGATAGACAGATGGACGGACACTCTCAAAAAAAAAAAAGAGAGTGGCGACAGCAAGTGGAGGGAGTGCAGGGAGTGCAGAGGGAGTGGAGTGGATCTTTACGCATTTGTAGAAAGTGCAAGTCTGCGGCTGCGCAGCCAAGCGCGTGGCTCGTTGCGTGCCTTGTTTGCCGTATGAGCGGGAGGGACAGATGGTGGTGGTCTCCCCCGGATCCCCTCTGGCCCATCCACCACAGAGGAGGTCTCCAGAGAAGCCAGAGACCTGAAATATATTTAATTACCTGCGCCATGGCATTTTTCTTGGCAATTTTCTGAAATATTTGCATACTTTCTAATGCATTTTTTCTCCGCTGCCGCCGTTGCTTTCCTTTGGCACTTTCTTTGGAGTTTCGGTGATTTTTTAATTGTTGCAAGCAGAAGAGTGTGTTGCATGTGGAAGCCATGCAACAGGCCATGCAATCGCATGCGACATAGTTTCGCTTTTTATTTTGAGTGTGGATCGGATCGGTGGCTGCCTGCCTGCCTGCCTTCTCCCTCTCTCCTTTTGGCTGCTAATCTAATTAGAAGCAATGGTCGCTTGCTCGTTCGTTTAATGCCTAATGCAGCCGATTAAACCGTAGCAATTTCAGTGGCACAAAACGACACATAGACCAGGCCCCAATCCCCAATCCCAATTCCCCTCTTTCTAATTCGTTTTATTTTCTGTTAAATGCTTTTCCAGTGAAAGTTTTTTCGGTTTTACTTTTTTTTTGTGTGTACATCACATGCCCCCACACACCACACCCATTTCATTTCGTATTTCTTGTGTGTGCGCTGTGCTTTTATGTGACACGGGTATTGGGAGTGCATTTTAATTGGTTTGAGGCTTGAGCCTCGAGGAAGCCCCAAAGATTCGCTTAAGGGAACTGCAGCCAAGCATCGCCTGGGACACGATTCTTGGAATTTTCAGAGCCAAAAAGAGGATACACTTACAACCAAACCAGAAAATTAATTTGGGGAACTTCAACGTGTGTGAATCGCCATTCCCCTCAATTCCCCTCACCATTACTCGAAGAGTCTAGGAAGAGTCTTCCAGTAGGAAGCTGTGCTGTCCCAGATCTCAGAGACTATAAGAGCTAGAGCCACCAAAAAGCGATAAAATCGAGTACCCAGAATCATAGATGATGACCATATCTATCAGATTGCCGAATCTGCACCTGATCGGATCTTTATGTTAGCCAGAATGAGCAAACCAATCGATTTGCCAGGGCTATGCTCTTGCCCATTCTCTATCTCCCTCACACACACTCTTTTCCTCGTGCAGTGTGCGCCTCCTGGCGGAAGGGAGCGAGATATAAGGGCTGGTAGAAATGAAAAAGAGAGAGACAGATGTAGCGGAATGAAAGGATAGACGGAATAGAGGATTCCTTTCTTTCAGTTTCTATGTTCTTTGCAACTCTTAAGAATTAAGTTAGATCTCGTGCCTTTTGCGGACAGCGTTACCAAAAGGCAGGCAGAGAGAGAGAGAAGGCATGTGGCAGTCATCGACTGCGGTGCTTATGAATATTTACATATATTAAAATATATCAAACAAGTACCGGGCTTAGTAGAGCCGCGGCCCTTGCTTCTGCCTCATTTCTGTTTTTCAGTGATTCAATCTTCAGCCTTTACGATATCTCCTTTCCTCTTTCAACCCAATAGCGAAGCAAATGTTTCCTTTCGCTTATGGTAACATTTGTACAGAATCAACTAATGTTTTCCTATCACTTATGGGAACTTTTCTGTAGTGATGCTCATTTCTAGTGGACCTGTTTCCCTTCCCCTCTCCGTCTTGTGTTTCTGTGGGCCATAAATCAGTCTCAACGCTGACCATTTTGTAGTCGCTGATAATGCGATGCTGATCGGCTATCAGTCGGGGGGTAACTTATGCTTTCTTCGGGCCATGACCTACTCGTAGACACAAATGCGAGGCGACGAACCCCAGCAGCGGCGCTCAGGCAGGGGTCAAGCACCTTTTCACCTGATAATGCGTGACCCCAGACCCAGTTTACCTTTTCTGTATCTGTATCTGTATCCGTAGCTGTATCTGTATCTGTATCTGTATCTCTGTAGCTGTGGCTGTAACCCGATACGCAGCTTACAGCCCACTGCACGCCTCACTCCAAGCCAGAGAGAAATTGAAAGAAAACCCAGGGCGGAACGGAACGGAACGACATAAAAAGAGAATGCTAATGTGGTCTCCACCTACTTCTTCTCTTCCATTTACCATTTTCCATTTTCCAATTTTTCCCATTCAAAAGGTACGCCTGGAGTCCATTGGTGCCGAGGACATTGTCGACGGTAATCCCAGATTGATTTTGGGTCTCATTTGGACCATCATTTTGCGATTTCAAATACAGGAAATTGAGATTGATGTTGTAAGTAGAGCCCCAGTCGCCATATATCGAATGATTATTCATGACTATTCCCCTCTTTGCTTTAGGACGAGGAAAACGAGTCCAGCGAGAAGCGTTCGGCCAAGGATGCCCTCCTGTTGTGGTGCCAAAGGAAGACGCACGGCTATGCGGGTGTCAATATCACGGACTTCACCTCCTCATGGCGTTCCGGCCTGGGCTTCAATGCGCTCATCCATTCGCATCGTCCGGATCTGTTCGAGTACAACACGATTGTCAATTCGAAGAACTCCAATTTGGATAATCTGAATCATGCCTTCGATACGGCGGCCAACGAATTGGGCATACCAAGGTAGGGCCCCCTCCAAGCCCTGCCTGCAAACGCATTCTTCTATTGTCGGTCTCTATTTGCAGTTTGCTCGATGCAGAGGACATTGACTCGGCCCGACCCGATGAGAAATCGATCTTGACCTATGTGGCCTCCTACTATCACACCTTTGCACGCATGAAGAACGAACAGAAGAGCGGCAAGCGTATAGCAAACGTAAGTAGTCGAGTCGTTGCAGCGTAACGAGCGTCCAAACCAATCCAAACCAATCCAATCCAATCCAATAAATTTCTACGCTCTGTTTCACAATGGAAATGTCTCTCTGTCTCTTGTCTGGATAGATCGTTGGCCAACTGATGGACGCCGATCGCAAGAAGATACACTACGAACGCCTGACCACAAATCTCCTGAGTTGGATCCGCCAGAAGACCCTGGAGCTGGAGCAGCGCAACCTGCCCAACTCCCTGGAGGGCATACAGCGTGAACTGATGGCCTTTAAGGAGTATCGCACCATTGAGAAGCCACCAAAGTGAGTTCCAGCGAAAGCGCTGCGAAGTAAAAGATATTCTAAGCTGTTCTGTTCTGTTTCGGTAGATACAAAGAGCGCAGCGAGATCGAGGCCTTGTACTTCACCATCAACACTCTGTTGAAGGCGCTGAATCAGCCGCCGTACAATCCGCACGATGGAGTGATGGTCAATGACATCGAGAAGGCCTGGCAGATCCTCGAGTATGCCGAACACAACCGCGAAGTGGCGCTGCGCGAGGAGCTGCTGCGGCAGGAGAAGCTCGAGCAGTTGAACTACAAATTCGAGAAGAAGTCGGTGCTGCGCGAGGGCTACCTCAAGGAGATGATCCAGGTGCTGTCCGATCCGCGGTATCTGCGTCAGGTGGATGCCACACTGAAGAAGCACGAGGCCATCTCGGCGGACATACTGGCGCGCGTGGAGCGCTTCAACGATCTGACGGCCATGGCTAACGAATTGGAGAAGGAGAACTATCACGGCAAGGAGCGGGTGAAGAAACGCGAGCAGGAGGTGATGGAAAAGTGGCGAAAGCTGCTGGAACTGCTGGAGAACCAGCGTCTCAACCTCTCGCAGATGAGCAACCTGATGAATCTGCTGCGTGAAATCGCCAGCACCACGGAGTCCGTAAGGGAGCTGCAGCAGCAGTTCGCCTCGGAGGATGTGGGCCCGCATCTACTGGGCGTCGAGGAGCTGCTGCAGGCGCACTCGCTGCAGGAACTCCAGGTGAACACGTACGGGGAGACGCTGAAGCGCTTCAATCGCCAGGCGGTGCCCTACAAGAGCTCCGAACACAAGGATGCCGCTGTGCTGGCCCAGCGCCTCGGCGAGCTGGAGGAGGCGTACTCGGAGCTGATCAGGCGCTCGGCCGATCGGCGGGCACGCCTGGAGGAGGCACGCAACTTCCACCACTTCATGGAGGACTACGACAACGAGGAGAGCTGGCTGGTGGACAAGCAGCGCATCTGCAAGACGGGCATCACAGCCAAGGACCTGCGGGCCGTGCTGTCCCTCCAGCAGAAGCACAAGGCGCTCGAGGATGAGATCAAGTCGCGGAAGCCCAAGTCTTCGCAGATGTCGGACGCCGGCAAGCGACTGATCGGAGAGAAGCATCCGCGTTCCAGCGAGATTAAGAGCCGCATTGATTCCCTGGCGGAGCACTGGCAGGCCCTGGAGGCCCTGGTGGAGGTGCGACGCCGCCAGCTGGAGGATGCGGCCGAGGCCTACCAGTTCTACACGGATGCCAACGAGGCAGAGTCCTGGCTGAACGAGAAGATGGCCTTGGTCAACAGCAAGGACTACGGCAACGATGAGCCCTCCGCCCAAGCGCTGCTCCAGCGACATCGCGACCTCCAGGGGGAGCTGAATGCCTACTCCGGGGACATCCTGAACCTCAATCAGCAGGCGGACAAACTGATCAAAGCCGGCATCTGCACCCTGGAGCTGACGGCTGCAGAGCCAGAGCTGCCCGACGTCGAGCAGGAGGAGTGGATCAATGAGACGCGCCTCGTGCCCAAGGAGGTGTGGGAGGACGAGTGGGTGGAGAAGTTGGAGCACAAGAAAGTCACGGAGACAAAGATGCTGCCGCACGTGCGCTCGCAGTTCCCCTTCGAGGGACAGGGCATGAAGATGGAGAAGGGCGAGGTGATGCTCCTGAAGTCGAAGACCAACGACGACTGGTGGTGCGTGCGCAAGGACAACGGTGTCGAGGGCTTCGTCCCAGCAAACTATGTGCGCGAGATCGAGCCCCGCCCGGTGGCCTGCATTGTGCCCAAGGCTGAGAAGGTCAAGTCCCTGCAGAAGGTCAAGAAAACCATTCTGGTGCGCCAAGTGGTGCCCGTGAAGAGGATCAAGCCGGTGAGTGTCGCCCCCAAGCCACTCGTTCAGCGCCGCACCTCTACGCAGAGCATCAACGAGAATGCGGACAGCGTGGAGAAGCGCCAGCAGAGGATCAACGCCACCTACGACGAGCTGCAGGAGATGGCCCAGAAGAGGCATGCCCTCCTCGAGGATTCCATCCATCTGTTTGGCTTCTATCGCGAGTGCGATGATTTCGAGAAGTGGATGAAGGAGAAGGAGCGTATGATCAAGTCGGACGACGGGGAAGGCGTGGACAATGCCAAGCGGAAGTTTGAGAAGTTCATCACGGACCTCTCGGCCGCCTCGAAGCGCGTGGAGGAGATCGACGGGGCAGTGGACACCTTCCGCCGGCAGGGCCACTCGCAGCTGGACAAGATCATTGCCCGCCAGCGCCAGATCCATCAGATCTGGCAGCGTCTCAACAATGCCAAGGCCCAGCGCGAGAAGAGCCTGGAGGGAGCGTCCAGTGTGGAGCTCTTCAATCGCACCTGCGACGAGGCCAAGGTCTGGATGAGCGAGAAGATGCTCCAGCTGGACACGGCTGTCATTACACCCGATCTGCGCACCGTTCAGGCCCTGCAGCGTCGCCACCAGAACCTCGAGCGAGAGCTGGCGCCAGTGGAGGACAAGGTTAATCGCGTCACGTATCTGGGTAACTCGGTAAAGAATGCCTATCCCGCGGAGCGTGACAATGTCAACGGGCGCCAGCAGGAGGTCCAGGACATGTGGCAACAGGTGCAGCAACGCGGCAACGACCTGCGCAACCGCATCGAGAGCGAGGTCGGCCAACAGATATTCAACAACAGCGCCAAGACCCTCCTGGCATGGATCGATTCTGTGAAGGATCAACTGAATGCCGACGAATCGGCACGCGATGTGGAGACGGCCAACAATCTGCTGAAGAAACACAACGACCTGGGCGACGACATCCGGGCCCACGACACGGAGTTTATCGAGGTCATTCAATTGGGCAAGCAGCTCTCCGATGGCAAGCCCGACATGGCCGAAACTGTGGCTCTGATTGAGCGGCTGAAGGCCGAGCAGGATGCCATCCACAGGGGCTGGGCGGAGAAGCAAAAGTGGCTGCTGCAGTGCGTCGAGCTGCAAATGTTCAATCGCGAGGCGGACAAAATTGATGCCACCACCAAGAGCCATGAGGCCTTTTTGGAGTACAACAATTTGGGGGTAAGTGGAGCTCCATTTCTAGCTTAAAGCAAGGATACATAGGTGACGTACTCCAGTGAAGTCCCCTCTTTTCCTGGTGTCTTATTTTGCCAGAGAGAGCCATAAAATAGGAATGCATCGTCACCTCTATATCAATGTACCCTGCAGTGCCTTTTCGACTGTCAAATCTGCCAATAGTTTTTTATCGATAGTTGCCATCACTATTTGTGTATTCAAATATCACATATCTAATGCAACTGTTATCGATGGCTGGCGTTACGCGCGTTATTTGAATTTGTAATCGCAAATCTAATTCCTTAATTGTTTTTCCTACTTTTAGGCATCTCTCGACGAAGTCGAGGCCATACTGAAGCGTCATTTGGACTTTGAAAAGAGCCTAATGGCCCAGGACAAGATCCTCAAGGGCTTTAGCGACAATGCAGACAAGTTGATTGCCAATGATCACTATGATGCCAAGTAGTAAGAGTCCCGCCATCGCCTGTAGTGGCATTTTCCTAACCATAAATCGATTTCTTGCAGCATCGGCGACCGACGCAATCAAGTGCTGGGCAAACGAAAGGCCGTCAAGGATCGGGCATTCGAGCGAAAGCGTCTGCTGCAGGCCTCCAAGGACTACAACAAATTCGCCGCCGAGGCTGACGACTTGAAGGTGTGGCTGCAGGACAAGACGAAGATTGCAGGCGATGAGAACTACCGGGATCTGAGCAACCTGCCCAGGAAGCTGCAGAAGCACAAGGCCTTCGAGCGGGAGCTGCGCGCCAACGAGGGGCAGCTGCGGAACATCAACAAGGATGGGGAGGATCTCATTCAAGCGGGCAATCGTGTGCCAGAGGTGGAGTTCCGTGTGGCGGACCTGAACAAGAAGTGGAAGGATCTGCTGGCGCTGTCCGAGGACAAGGGCCGGAAGCTGGAGCAAGCCGCCTCGCAGCGAGAGCACAATCGCGCCCTCGAGGATGCCAAGAAGAAGGTGGACGAACTGGATTCCGCACTCAAGAGCAAGGATGTGGGCAATGATCTGCGCAGCTGCAAGGATCTGATCAACAAGCAGCAGATCCTCGAGTCGGAGATCACCATCTGGGACCAAAAGGTGGCCGAACTTGTGTCCACGGGCGACGACATGGCCCACGAAGGCCACTTCAATGCCAAGAACATCGAGGATGAAACCAAGGAGCTGCAGCAGCGGTTCAAGGACCTGCGGGATCCCACGCAGAAGCGCCGGGACAAGCTGGAGGAGAGCCTGAACTTCCACAAATTCGTATTCGAGCTGGATGCAGAGTTCCAGTGGATCAATGACCATCTGCCTGCCGCCAAGTCAAATGAGCTCGGCCAGAACCTCCACCAGACGCAGTCGCTGTACAAGAAACACAAGAAACTTGAGGCCGAGATCAAGGGGCACCAGTCGATGATCAACAAGGCGCTGCAGGCGGGCCAGACACTGGTTGCCCAGCAGCATCCGGAGAGCGAGAATGTGGCGGCGCTGTGCAAGCAGCTGGAGGCCGCCTGGCAGGACCTGGAGCTCCACTGCAATGAGCGGTCCCGCAAGCTGGACATGTCCCTGAAGGCCCAGCAATATCTGTTCGATGCCGGGGAGATCGAGTCCTGGTTGGGTGAGCGCAACAATGCCCTGCGATCCACGGAATACGGCCGTGATCGCGACTCTGCGGCCAAGTTGCTCACCAAACACAAGACGATCGAACTGGAGTTGGACACCTATTCGGGCATCGTCACCGAAATGGGCCACAGCTGCGCCGCAATGGTGGCTGCCAATCACCCGGACAGCAAAGTGCTCACCGCCAAGCAGCAGCTGATCGAGAAGATGCTCAAGTCGCTGCACAAGCTGGCCTCCCAGCGGCAGGGACGGCTCATGGAGAGCCTCAACAAGCACGAGTACTTCCTGGAGTCGGACGAGGTGGAGCAATGGATACGAGAGCAAGAGCAGACAGCCTCCTCGGAGGACTACGGCCAGGACTTTGAGCACTTGCAGCTGCTGCAGAACAAGTTCGACGATCTGAAGCACCGCGTGGAGGTGGGAGCCGATCGTGTAGATCAGAGCGAGCTGCAGGCCAAGAAGCTCATCGACACGGAGAGTCCCTACGCCAACGAAGTGGAGAAGCGACAGGAGCGGCTACGGACATCGTGGGAGAATCTGCTGCAGCTGCTGAACCAGCGCGAGCAGAAGCTGCATGCCGCCGGGGAGATCCATCGCTTCCATCGCGACGTGGCGGAGGCCCTGTTCCGCATTCAGGACAAGAATGCCGCCCTCTCGAACGAGCTTGGCAAGGATCTGAACTCTGCCTTGGCATTGCTGAGGAAACACGAGGGTTTCGAGAACGATTTGGTGGCCCTGGAGGCACAACTGCAAGTCCTAGTCGAGGACTCGGTGCGTCTGCAGGCCAAGTATCCCTCGAATGCTGTGGCCATCGCCCAGCAGCAGGACAAAGTGGTGGCTGCCTGGAATGACCTGAAGGAACGTTCAACCGCACGCGGGGATCGCCTGGCGGCCAGCTCCGATCTGCAGACATTCCTCACGGACGTCAGGGACATTGTTTCATGGTCCTCCAACCTGCGGGCGGCCCTCCAGGCGGAGGAGCACGTCAGCGATGCTGCCGGAGCCACTGCCCTGAAGATCCAACACGATGCCATTTACGGCGAGATCGAGGCCCGAGAGGACAAGTTCCGGTATCTGAACGAGTTGAGCGATTCGATGGTGCAGACGGGACACTATGCCGCCGCCGATGTGGAGGAGAAGTGCGCCGCCATGCTGGACGAGCGACAGAAGCTGCACGCCGCCTGGAACAAGAAGAAGATCATGCTGGAGCAGAAGATCGATCTGTTCTGCTTCCTGCGCGACGCGAAGCAGATTGATAATCTGTCCAGCAGCCAGCAGGCGGCCCTCAGCAGCTCCGACTTCGGCCAGACGGTGGAGGATGTGCAGAACCAGATCAAGAAGCACGACGAGTTCGAGCGACTCATCCAGACACAGGAGGAGAAGGTGGCCCTGCTGCAGGAGCACGGAAGGAAACTGATCGAGCAGCGGCACTACGACAGCGCCAACATCCAGACGATACTCCAGGGAGTGCTCGCCCGCCGCCAGAAGGTCAAGGATCTGTGCGCCGTACGCCGATACAAGCTGGAGGATGCCCTGCTCTATGCCAAGTTCGTGAGGGATTGCGCCGAAGCGGAGTCCTGGATCAGCGAGAAGCAAAAGAAACTGGAGGCAGATGCCGCCAACTACGCGGAGGTCACGAACCTCGACGAGAAGATCAAGAAACTGCAGAAGCACCAGGCCTTCCAGGCCGAAGTGGCCGCCAATCAGGGCCGCATCAAGGAGATCCAGGACACGGGCGTCATTCTCTTGAGCAAACAGCACGAATCGTCGCCGGAGATCAGACTGGCCATCGAGAGGGTCCTGAATGCCTGGCAGGGACTCCTCGCGGAGTTGGATCAATGCGGCCGCGGGCTGGAGGAGGCACAGGACATCCTCGAATTCAACAACCAGCTGGACAAGATCGAGGCCTGGATCAGGGACAAGGAAATGATGGTGCAGGCCAGCGACACGGGCAGGGATCTGGAGCATTGCAATGCTCTGATGCGGAAGCTCGACGACGTCGACTCGGACATGCGAGTGGACGACCAGCGGGTGAAGCACATCAACCAGCTGGCGGACAAGCTGATCAATCAGGCCCAGCTGCCAGAGGACACGCAGAGCGTGGACAAGCGACGACGCGACTTCAACCACAATTGGCGGCAGCTCCAAGGGGCCCTGAATGCCTATCGTGCACTTCTTGGCGGAGCCAACGAGATCCATGTGTTCAATCGCGATGTGGACGACACGGCGGAGCGCATTGCGGAGAAGTCGCTGGCCATGAGCTCGGCGGACACCGGAAGAGACCTGGCTGCCGTCGAGGCCCTGATTCGCCGAGAGGAGGCCCTGGAGAGGGACATGTCTGCCGTCAAGCAGAAGATCGATCAGCACGAGACGGCAGCGCAGTTCCTCATCGGAAAGTATCCCGAAAGAGGCGCCCAGCACATCGAGCGGAAGCTGGAGGAGCTCCACAAGTCGTGGGCCAATCTGCAGAGCCTTTCGGTGCGACGACAGAGTGTCCTGAACGAGGCCTACCTCGTGCACAAGTTCGTGTCGGACGTGCGCGAGCTGGAGCTGTGGGTCAACGACATGGTCAAGAAGATGAACAACGCCCAGGCCCCGTCGACCATCAACGACTGCGAGACGCAGCTGGAGCTGCACCAAGAGCGCAAGGTGGAGATCGAGGGCAGGGATCAGGCCTTTGTGGGCCTCAAGCAGCACGGCGAACAGTTGTCCGGGAAGCAGAAGCCATCCGAGAACGTCAAGAAGTATCTGCTGGTGCTGGAGGAGCTGCACCAGACGCTGCACGAGGCATGGAGCGAGAGGGCCAGGGACCTGACGGAGGCCCACCAGCTGCAGCTGTTCAAGGCGCAGGTCGAGCAAGTGGAGATGTGGCTGGCCAACAAAGAGGCCTTCCTCAACAACGACGACCTGGGCGACTCGTACACGGCGGTGGAGCGTCTCCTCAAGAAGCACGATGCCTTCGAGAAGCTACTGAACGCGGACCACGTCGATACCCTGCAGAAGTTCGCCCAAAGCATACTCGAAGGCGATCCGAAAGACGGGGACCTGATCAGGGAAAAGCTCGCCTACATCCTGCGGCGCAAGCAGAAGCTGCTGGATCTGTCGGAGGAGCGAAAGCAGCGACTTCTGCAGTCCCTGCAGCTGCAGGAGTTCCTGCGGAGTCTCTACGAGATCGACCGCTGGCTGGTCCAGAAGCTCCAGGGGGCGCTGGACGAGAACTACCGCGAGCCGAGCAATCTGCAGTCCAAGATCCAGAAGCACTCCACCTTCGATGCGGAGTTGCTGAGCAACAGTCCGCGCGTGCAGTCGGTAATCAGCGAGGGAGAGCGCCTCATCAAGGGCGAGCACTTTGCCAAGGACGAGATTGCGCAGCAAGTGCAGCTCCTGGAGGGCGACTGGCTCAAGCTGAAGGCCGCCTCGCAGGCCAAGAAGGAGAAGCTGCAGCAGGCCCACGAGGCCTTGGCCTTCAACCGAAGCGTCGACGAATTCAACAACTGGATGGACGATGTGGAGCTGCAGCTCTCGAGCGAGGACTATGGCAAGGATCTGGCCACCGTCAGCAATCTGCTGAAGAAGCACGAACGCCTCGAGGCCGATGTGGCGCACCACAACGATCTGGCGGATCAGCTGAAGCTCAAGGACGAGCGCTTCTTCCAGGCGGATCACTTCCTCAAGCACGAAATCCACGAACGGGCAATGGCCAGCATCAAGAGGTACAACACGCTGCACGAACCGATTGCGATTCGCCGGGAGAACCTCGAAGACTCTCTGAGTCTGCAGCAGTTCCTGCGCGATGCCGAGGACGAGCTCCAGTGGCTGGCCGAGAAGCAGCTGGTGGCTGGGTCCCAGGACCTCGGCAGCAGTCTGCTCGCCGTGCAGGGACTCCAGAAGAAACACAACGCCCTGGAGGCGGAGCTCACCTCGCAGGAGCCGCTGATTCAGGCGCTCCTGCAGCGCGGACAGCAGATGATACGCGACAATCACTTCGCCAGCGAGGAGCTGCAGTACAAGTCGGAGCTGCTGCAGAAGCAGCTCCTCCAGCTGCGCGACCTGGCGGCCATTCGCCGCCTCAGACTCCTCGACGCCGTCGAGAGCCAGCTGTTCTATGTGGAGGCCAACGAGGCGGACGCCTGGATGCGGGAGAAGCGACCGATTCTGACCAGCAGCGACTACGGACGCGATGAGATCTCTGTGCAGGGACACCAGAAGAAACTGGAGGTCCTGCAGCGAGAGCTCACCTCGTTCCGTCCCTCCATCGACAAGGTGAACAAACTGGCCACGGGATTGGTGGAGCGCAATCACTTTGACAGCGCCAACATCCAGGAGAAGAACGGCCAGGTGGAGCAGCAGTACGGGGACCTCCTGCGTCTCGCCAAGGAGCGCGAACTGCGTCTCGGCGAGTGCAAGAAACTCTTCGAGTACCTGCGCGAAACGGAGGAGCTGCACGAGTGGGTGGGCGACCAGATGGCCGTCACGGCCAGCGAGGACTACGGCGAGGACGTGGAGCACGTCGAGCAGCTGATGCTGGCCTTCGAGTCCTTTGTGTCGAACCTGAACGCGAACGAGGCTCGTGTGGAGGCCTGCCTGGACCGCGGCGACCGCCTCATCCAGGAGAACAATCCCTACCGCAACTCCATCAAGTCGAAGCGCGACGAAACGAAGCAGCTGTGGGACGAGCTCAAGGATCTGGTGAATGCCCGCCAGGATGCGCTGGCCGGGGCCAAGCAGGTGCACGTCTACGACCGCGTGGCCGATGAGACCATCACTCTGATCCAGGAGAAGGACGCCTCGCTCATTTCCGAGGACTATGGCCAGGATCTGGAGAGCATCCAGGCGCTGGGACGTAAGCATCTGGTGTTCGAATCGGAGCTTGTGGGCATCCAGGGCCAGGTCGAGTCCGTGCTGGCAGAGGCCGTGAAACTCGGCGAGATCTATCCGGACGCCAGGGAGCACATCGAGGTGAAGCGGGACGAGACGGTGGAGGCCTGGACGGACCTCAAGGATAAGACGACGGCCAGGAAGAGCAAACTCTCGCAGGCGGAGCAGCTGCAGTCGTACTTCGACGAGTACCGCGATCTGATCGCCTGGATCAACGAGATGCTGGCCAAGATCACGGCCCCCGACCTAGCGAACAGTGTGGCCGGAGCGGAGCTGCTTTTGGCCAGCACCAAGGACCACGACGCGGAGATCTGTGCCCGCGACGAGACCTTTGCCAACTTCGCGTCCAACGGACAGCAGCTGATCAAGGAGAAGCACTTCCTCGCGAACGAGGTGGAGGATAAGATCAAGGTGCTGCACTCGCGGCACGAGCTGCTGAAGCTGACACTCCGCCAGAGGCGGGACATCTACGAGCTGAACCTGGACACGCAGCTGTTCCTCAAGGATGCGGAGATCCTCGAGCAATGGATCAGCAGTCGGGAGCCGCAGCTGAAGGATGCCAAGCTCGGGGACTCGATACCCCAGGTGGAGGATCTGCTGCGACGCCACGAGGACTTTGAGAAGACAGTGGCCGCCCAGGAGGAGAAGTTCCAGGCCATCAAGCGGATCACGCTGCTGGAGCAGCTGTTCCGCAAGCAGCTGGAGCAGGAGAAGATCTCCAAGCGGCAGGAGAAGGAGCGCCAGGAGAAGGAACGCCTCGAGCAGCTCAAGCAGCGGGAACTGCAGCGCCTCGCGGACGAGCGCAGACGCGCCGAGAAGCAGCAGGAGCATCGCCCACAGCAGGAGAAGACACCCATCTTCTCCTCGCCGATGGTCACGATATCCGGCACAGCCGCAGGCGCAGGAGCAGCCAGTGGCCCCCATTCGCCGGCCGTCAGCCAGGCCACACTGCGCCCCACCTTCGGGGACGAGAACGAGCACATGGCCCTGCAGAAGAGCAGCTCCAGCGGCATGTTCGGGGATCGGCTGCGACGCGGCTCCGCGGATGCCAATGTGAAGCGAGCGGAGAGCATGAAGGTGCAGCCGAAGCAGCCCAAGCGCACGCCCTCGTTCACCACGCGTCGACGCGCGCAGTCCTTCCGCAAGAACCAGAAGGGCGAGGGCTTCGACCTGCCGCCCGTCGAGATCCAAGGGATGCTGGAGCGCAAACACGGGCTGCAATCGGGCGGCAAGAAGGCGCCCGTTCGCTCCTGGAAGCAGTTCCACACGGTGCTCTGCGGCCAGCTGGTGTGCTTCTTCAAGGACGAGAACGATTTCCTGCAGCAGAAGACGGCCACGGCTCCAGTGAATATCCTGGGAGCCAAATGCGAGCGAGCCGATGACTACACAAAGAAGAAGTACGTGTTCCGGCTGAGGCTGCCCGACGGCTCGGAGTTCCTCTTCGAGGCGCCATCGCTGGACATCCTGAACGATTGGGTACGCAAGATATCCTTCCACGCTAGTCTGCCGCCAAATCTACAGCTCCTGAGCTACGACGAGTCTATGAAGGTAACAAAACGGGACAGCACTCGAGCCTTCAATGATTTCTAACGTGTTTTTTTCTGTGCAGCAACAATCGAGCAGCTCGCCGGACATTAAGGTTAGCAGCAGCGTGGAGTCGCCCGTGAGTTCGAGGAACTCCTCGCCGGACTCGCAGCGTCGTGCCAGCAGTGGACAGACGCTGGATGTCACGGCCACACCGCAGATGGCCTTCCTGCAGCGACAGATGCAGCAACAGCAGCAGCAGCAATCGCAGCCCAGCTCCCCCACTTCCCCCACAGCCGGAGGCTTCGATCAGAAGCCGCCAATTCCGCCGCGTGGCGCACCGCCAGTGGCCAGCAATCGCCAGAGCCAGGAGAATCTAGTGGTCCTGCGCAATCGCCAAAGTTCGAGCAATGGTAGGATGGAAGGTGCACCGTTGGGGGCTCCAAGAGTTGAAGCTAATGATGGATTCCCCTTTTCAGATCTAACCGATGGACGCTCTGCCACCTTACCCGCCGGAATGACTGGAGTCCAGCAGCAGCAGAACGGCAGCACCAAGGACGACAGCACTGGGCTGCAGCGCAACAGCGAGGCCAGACAATCGGGTGAGTGTCCTCCGGCCGTCGAACCATATGAATCGAGTAGAGATTCTGTGCGATCCATTTGTCTGTTTGTTCCACAACTCCACAACAACACCACACATTATTCCTCCACTCACAATTCCAAAGATAATCCGCCGCCATTGCCAACCACGATGCCACCCGTTGGGGGCCATGGCCATGGCCACCATCATCAGCATCAGCATCCCCAACATCCCCAGCATCAGCATCAGGCCCAGGTGCAGCAGCGCATCAATGCCTTCAATGCTGCGGCCAGCAGCAACCAGCAGCAGCCGGACTTCTACAGCAACAATCTGACGAGACAGCAGCAGCACCATCACATGTCGCCGCAGAGGGTGCCCTCGTTGGGCACGGGACGGATCGACTCGACGCGCAAGTTCATCGAAATGGAGGCGGCACAGCAGCAGCAGCAGCAGTCGCCCAATGGGAGCCCCGCCAAGCGCACCGTCAGCTACTCGAACTCCAGCAGCGGTGCGAGCAGCAATGGCAATGGTAATGTGAAGTCCACTACGACTACGGCCACGACCACTGTCAGTAGTAGCACATCCACCTCCACGAGCAGTCGCACGGTGTGGCATCTAACGAGCTCTTCGCCCACCTCATCGACCAAATCGAAATCATCAGCCTCTGGGGAGCCGGCATCATCGTCATCATCATCCAACAACAACAACATCAGCAACGCCATCAGTAATCCAAGCTATATGGGTCTGCATCTCCAGAATAACAATAACGAATCAAGTGGATATGGATTTGGTGGTTAGAAGAGTCCTAACATTACTATATAGCATGTGGAATGATGTAGCTCTTAAGAATGGAATGGTCTTTTCTCTACTTCTCTAAAAATACCTCCTCTCTCTCTCTCTCTCTCTCTGTGTTTCTGCATGCCTGTTTCTCTGTAACCCATTTATGCGGAGAAGGTACCTCCTCTTCCTCCACTGTTAAATCTGCAAAGCTGACGCGTCGATCCTATCTGCGCACGAGTTTACAAAGTATTCAGAATTGCCTATATATTGTATAATCCTCTCCTTTTTAGGCTAAGAAACGTATACCTCACTTTCTGTTACACTCCACAGCACCCCACATATGCATGCTTTCTCCTCGCCATTGAATCAGATCTCCCAGCACTCACACTCTTCTGTTTATGCTTCGCAGGTTGGGGCACTACACGCTTTGAGAGCAACAGGCCCGTATCCTTGCAGCCGGACTCCATTAGCTTCTCCCGTGTGTCCGCCGAGAGCTCCAGCGAGAGCGAGGCGCAGTCCATATCCTCAGTGTCTGGGGTGAAGGGCAGCAGCGGCGGCAGCAGTAAGGGGACTAAAGAAGAGCGTCGCAGTGGCATGTTCCGCATCTTTGGCCGCAAGGGCGACAAGGAGAAGGAAAAGGATAAGCGGCGATCCAGTCAAGTGCCGCCACAGTGAAAGGGGCAAAGGCAAATCGAGCGGAGGCAAAGCATTACAAACTAATCAAAACAGACCGAATTGTTTTTGTATTTTTTTTATATAAAGATAAATATATATACCCCATAATAATTTAATTTGTATCCCAAAAAAAAAACACACACACCCCCAACAAAACACATTGCGCCAAGGGCAGTATATCTTAAAAAAGCAGTAAAAATATGAAACGCCTTTACTTAGAGCTAAAGCGATTGAAGAACGATCGATTAAAAGTATATATATATAAAGTCAATGTTTTAATTGCATTATAAAATCTATGTGTAAGTCTTGTTCGTTGTATGATTAAATGTAATTTTCGTAAAAAAAAAAAGATTTAATAAATATTATACATACATATGTGTATGCAGAATATATGTGAAACAAATTCCAATGCTTATCAATTCGTTTAATCTCGATCACTAAGCGGTTAGAACGTCCAGATCCAGAGCTATAGCGGTTCAAAGACACACTGGCAATACCCTTGGTGTTCCTTGATGCCTCCAAAAAATCCTGGCACGCCCTGATCCTTGATAAGGACCACATTAATCAAGGATATTCACCCGATCATAGGAAGCCACTGCACACTCATATCGTCCCACAAGTAGAGCAGAAAACTAAATATGTTTGACTGGGCATGTCGAAGTCCCAATCCAAGGATCAATGAATATTTTCTAATCGCATTCGATAAATTCTGCATCCATTTGTTCCCTTTCAACTATTGCCAAGCAATCATAATGTATTCTTCTACCAGCATAGGTAATATTGGTAGCATATGTCAACGATAGTCAGCGGCTAGTCCACCACTAGCTATAAGTGTCATCACCGGAACACATGGTAAATATGCATGTGGTCATCTGTCTCTCTCTCTTTCATTTCTTACACCAACACCAGCCGTTATATCTCGCTCTGGCCACCAACTGCTATGCCGCGACCCCGTCCTTTTACATGCCAGGTAAAGTTATTAAGCTAATATATATTAATTAACTTTACTTAACTCTTCCTTTCATTTCTGCAGCTCGCGACCACGGACACCGATATGCCCACCATCGTTTATCAGGTACTACACCCTTCTGGTCTTTCGGTTTATACGATCGTGTGGACGCTCGATGACAGCTATCCACTCCAAGCGCCTGACTGGCAGATATCGCGACATGCCAATCTTCGGTAGGCTATATCTCAGACAAATAGGGCCAGATCGGCGAAGGACCTACTTTCGCAGGATCGCGAGGACCCAGACTGTCGATTTGCACCAAAATCTCGACTTCGAAAATGAGGCCGATTTTTGGCAAATTTAATGATGTAACCATCATGATTTTTTGCGAAAATCGTGAAAATATGGATGTCCTTCTTTCCGATGGGAGTCGACTGGCAGGACTCTACCGATCACGGAGAGGTTTGCCGCGTCCTGATCGGCTGACGTATTGCAGAGATATTGCGCACAGAAAAAACCAGTATTTTAATCATATGCCAATCTTGGGTAAGCTATATCTCAGAACTATAAGGCCAGATCGGTGAAGGACCTACTTTCCCAGGATTGCGAGGACCCAGACTGTCGATTTGCACCAAGATCTCGACTTCGAAAATGAGGCCGATTTTTGGCAAATTTAATGATGTAACCATCATGATTTTTTGCGAAAATCGTGAAAAAATGGATGTCCTTCTTTCCGAAGGCAGTCGACTGGCAGGACTCTCCCGAGCACGGAATGGCATGCCGCGCCCCGATCGGCTGCCGTATTGCAGAGATATAGCGCACAGAAAAAACCAGTATTTGAATGATATGCCAATCTTCGGTAGGCTATATCTCAGAACTGTAGGGCCAGATCGGTGAAGGACCTACTTTCCCAGGATCGCGAGGACCCAGACTGTCGATTTGCACCAAAATCTCGACTTCGAAAATGAGGCCGATTTTTGGCAAATTTAATGATGTAACCATCATGATTTTTTGCGAAAATCGTGAAAATATGGATGTCCTTCTTTCCGATGGCAGTCGACTGGCAGGACTCTCCCGATCACGGAAAGGTATGCTGCGCCCCGATCGGCGGCCTTATTGCAAAGATATAGCTTACCGATTAAACCAGTATTTTAATCATATGCCAATCTTGGGTAAGCTATATCTCAGAACTATAAGGCCAGATCGGTGAAGGACCTACTTTCCCAGGATTGCGAGGACCCAGACTGTCGATTTGCACCAAAATCTCGACTTCGAAAATGAGGCCGATTTTTGGCAAATTTAATGATGTAACCATCATGATTTTTTGCGACAATCGTGAAAAAATGGATGTCCTTCTTTCCGATGGCAGTCGACTGGCAGGACTCTCCCGATCACGGAAAGGTATGCTGCGCCCCGATCGGCGGCCTTATTGCAAAGATATAGCTTACCGATTAAACCAGTATTTTAATCATATGCCAATCTTCGGTAGGCTATATCTCAGACAAATAGGGCCAGATCGGTGAAGGACCTACTTTCCCAGGATTGCGAGGACACAGACTGTCGATTTGCACCAAAATCTCGACTTCGAAAATGAGGCCGATTTTTGGCAAATTTAATGATGTAACCATCATGATTTTTTGCGAAAATCGTGAAAAAAATGGATGTCCTTCTTTCCGATGGCAGTCGACTGGCAGGACTCTCCCGAGCACGGAATGGCATGCCGCGCCCCGATCGGCGGCCTTATTGCAAAGATATAGCTTACCGATTAAACCAGTATTTTAATCATATGCCAATCTTCGGTAGGCTATATCTCAGACAAATGGCGCCAGATCGGTGAAGGACCTACTTTCCCAGGATTGCGAGGACCCAGACTGTCGATTTGCACCAAAATCTCGACTTCGAAAATGAGGCCGATTTTTGGCAAATTTAATGATGTAACCATCATGATTTTTTGCGAAAATCGTGAAAAAATGGATGTCCTTCTTTCCGAAGGCAGTCGACTGGCAGGACTCTCCCGAGCACGGAATGGCATGCCGCGCCCCGATCGGCGGCCTTATTGCAAAGATATAGCTTACCGATTAAACCAGTATTTTAATCATATGCCAATCTTCGGTAGGCTATATCTCAGACAAATGGCGCCAGATCGGTGAAGGACCTACTTTCCCAGGATTGCGAGGACCCAGACTGTCGATTTGCACGAAAATCTCGACTTCGAAAATGAGGCCGATTTTTGGCAAATTTAATGATGTAACCATCATGATTTGTTGCGAAAATCGTGAAAAAATGGATGTCCTTCTTTCCGATGGGAGTCGACTGGCAGGACTCTACCGATCACGGAGAGGTTTGCCGCGTCCTGATCGGCTGACGTATTGCAGAGATATTGCGCACAGAAAAAACCAGTATTTTAATCATATGCCAATCTTGGGTAAGCTATATCTCAGACAAATAGGGCCAGATCGGTGAAGGACCTACTTTTCCAGGATTGCGAGAATCCAGACTGTCGATTTGCACCAAGATCTCGACTTCGAAAATGAGGCCGATTTTTGGCAAATTTAATGATGTAACCATCATGATTTGTTGCGAAATTCGTGAAAAAATGGATGTCCTTCTTTCCGATGGGAGTCGACTGGCAGGACTCTACCGATCACGGAGAGGTTTGCCGCGTCCTGATCGGTCCATAAATAGTCGAGATATAGCCAAAGAAAATATAAAGAATTCAGACATTTTGGTCGCCCACAAAGGGCCACCACGAAGGGTCCATGGGACCTTGCAGGCGTACTCAAGCCAATCCTACTAAGCAGGTCAGGGCAATCGAGAAGCAATGGTCCTTCCATCCTAGAGGGAGGAGAGATGCACGAGACGAAATCTGCGGGCTTTATGGATGCCAGGATGGGCTACAGCTTCAAAACGCGTGAGTGAATCAGTATATAATTGTAGACATATTTTAAAGTATATCTTCTTTCACAGAGAACTTATGTACCCTAAGCTTCATCTCAAACCGAGTCGTATCCGATTTCCCCTAGCCGTACGGAGTCCTATCCAAGCATTAGCGAGGCGTATTCGAGACAGACCGAATCCTATCCCACCCCTTGCAAGATCCGGACCTAATAAGCCATCGTCATCCTTCGACCTGGCCATCGACAACAAGGACTTTGACTATGGCAACCAAGGGAGGGGCTACAAGAGCTACGCGGGCTGCTAGACTCTAGATAGATCTCGCTGTTGTTAGGTTTAGGGATATACTTTAGATAGTAGATGTTAATGTTTCCCACTTGTATATTGATTTATACTAAGCTAAGTTATGATGAATAAAAAAACTATTGAAAAATCATCCTTGCTTTATCCTGTAATGGGGGAACTATCCCGATACCAAAAAGGTCGGGCACGCCCAGATCGGTTCACAAATAGCGGGGGAAAAAGAATATTTTTGATTGGGAAAAATGTCCTTGATCCTTTCTAAGGATTCCATTAAATCAGGGACATTCCTCTGATTTCAGGAAGCCGTCGCAAGTCCCTATAGGGCCACGAATAGCCGTGAAAACTAGATTTGTATGGTTAGGGTTGTTGTAGTCCTTACAGAAGGATCAGGGGGATTTTTCTTTTCACGGGGTGCCATGACACGCCCCGTTCGGGCCAGAAATGAAGGAGAAGACAATATAAATATTCTTGGTCCTTCGTCCTTGATAAGGACTCCACCAAATCAGGGATGTTATTCTGATCTTAGGAAGCCGTCTCACGTCCCTATCCTGCCACAAATAACGGAGACAACATCAAAAGTTGTTGTTGTCAATTGTTGTACAACAACAACTCTCAACTTGCGGCCGCTCAAAGGCCCAAATCGATAATTTCAGATCTGGGATACCAGGCGAACAGAAATCAGCAGAAGGTCGCTAGATTTTTTTAAATTTTTTAATTTTCCCGCCATTTTTCAAACCCCAAAAGTATGCAACGTTTTTCATGATTTTTATTTTTTGCTTAAAATAAAGCCCAACAAATAAAAAATAACAGCGACCTTCTGCTGATTTCTTTTTTTTGTGTGCTTGTATTTGTGGCCCGATCGGGGCCCCCCGTGACAAAAAAAATCCCCCTGATCCTTCTGTAAGGACTACAACAATCCTAGCCATACAAATTTAGTTTTCACGGCTATTCGTGGCCCGATAGG